GTGTGTGTGTGTGGTTTTGTTCCATTTTCTAGAGGATATTTTTGCCTAAGGTTAAGGCAGTTTTCCATGTGATAGGTATGTTTCTGAGGTCCAGATATGGTTGAAGAGTGTTTGTGCAGGGTTTTGCATGTTTGATGTGAGTTTGTTTAGTATGGTGTAGGTGATGGTATCTGGACCTTGGGCTGAGGCTGAGTTTTTGTTTCTTAGTGCTGTGAATTTATAAAGTATATAGTGTTGGTGTTGGTCAGGATTTTTGGCAGTAGTGCTGGAGGAAGAGATTTGAAGTATGGGTTTGTATTATATTCTATAGTATATAAATCAAGTTTTTGTTTAATTTCCTAATTTTTTGTCCAAAAGGTTTGCGTATTTGCCTTTATTGATAATTATTCTATTTTTATATTTAAGAGATGTATGGTGGTTTTCAGTTCTGTTTGTAATGGGATGCTGTAGCACAGAACAGACTTATATACATCAACATGGAGTTTAAATCCACAGACACAAGCTCTCCATCAACAGAGATCAAGGATATCTCATCCCATCTGCATAAAATGAACTTATAAAAACAACTTAGCAGAGCATTCCAACCATGTATATTTTCTACCTCTTCGGAAAATTGACTTCCTCTTGTTGCCACTGCTTTATTACCACTATCCTATAGTTGTTGTTGTTGTTGTTGTTAATCTCTTTGATGCACGCCTACATGTTGTTTTAACTTAATCCCTGTAAAGTCTGATCTGTGCAAAGAGTGGGCACCTGCTCCTTTTGATAATCATGATTACCTCCTCCCTAATAGAGTTTTGTATCAGTTGTAATGAATGTAACCCTTAATCAGATTGGACGGAGTTAAATCTACATTTCTCAGTGTCAGAAACATCGGAAGGTTCAGTAGATGTCATGTCGCTTGTACACATTCAGGTATATTTTGAATCCTCCCATCCCATTCATGTTACTGCTCAATAACATGTGTGCCGTTGTACAAAACAACCTCGGCGTTTGGTCTGTCTTAAGACTATGTTAAGGTATGGGAGTTATGGTCATCTAAGCGCTAAAATCTGTTTGTACAACGGCACCCTGGTTGTTTTCTGTCAAAACAAATATTGATAACCCTTGATTTCTAGGAAAAAAACAACCAAATTATGCCCCAAACACGCTGTCGTTTACATAGGTAGTTTTATGCAGAGCAATAGGATATAACGCTTATGAATTCCTGCTGGGAAAAAAGTTCCTTTATCATCCAAAACTGTGTTCCACAGGAGATATCGTTTTGACAGTAGATTTTGTACAATGCCCTGACAATGCTATGACGTCATGTACTTGATGACGTCATAATGCTATGACATCGCTGCACTGCAAGTCTAATGGCAGTACCATGTTCAGAGATGTACATTTGTCATTGAAAATTAATGAAGAGTGATTTTGGATGATAAATAGAATTTCACCCTCGTGTCTTCTGATATCAAATATATCAACACTCGTTGATAAAGTAAAAATATCCTCGGCAAGCCTCGGATATTTGTAACTTTATCAACTCGTGATGATATAATTGATATCAGAAGACACTTGGGTGAGATTCTCTATATTCACCCTAATGCAATTACTGAAATGTGAATTTTTTTGTGACAGCATATATTTGCTTGGACACGAAGCCGGTGACTACCTTTTCATGTACCACATAAAATCTGCATGGTATGCCGGTTGATATTGTTATTTCACATCGGCAGACAATGCATATCTGTTGTCGCTGCAGGACTAGACTATTTCCGATACGACATTGTAATTACATTGGTGCTTAAGTACATCAAATCTTCGTAATACCACAATATACATGGATAAACTATCAAACGATGCATCGTTTAGAAAAAATATTTTGATTACATCAAAGAGAACATTTCACATATTTATTAAGTTATAACTTTCAAGGTATGAAACTTAAATTTGCGGGCCCAATGTATGTTTCATTACAAAGTTCGCTGTTAATGTCTTCCTTCAAAAGATCATCTAGTGTTGAACTGAACCGACTCACCTCACATCGCCTACAATACATGTAATTATAATGGCCAGTTCTACCACCCCTATCATAATAATGGATATTACCCAACTGGGTGTTAACATTAAACAAATAGATCCTGTACATTGTCTGTGTGACATGACTTACTCATCTACTTACATTAGTATCAATTGATCGGTCATGCCCCATTAGTCCCACTCCCACTAGTCATACAGGAAATGAGGGATTTTTAATTAAAACAACAACAGGCACATACCCTTTGCGCAAAATGGACTAGCCCGCTAATTAGAGAGCTTGGGGTTAGTTTAATCTCTAACACTGAGAATGCCACAGTCTTTGGTAATGAAAACATATAAACGAATGTTATTAAAGTAAATTACATTGAAGTTATATGAACATAATACACCACAACCGTTGATAATCAAAACTTTCAAATCAATGTTAAACTCGAAGGAAAACCAAGTTCTATGGATAGTCAACTTCTTTAGTGCAATGGGTGCGACGTATCGATGTAGGCACTAACACCGTTATCAAACAAGTGATGATCATTCATTGCAGTAAAGAAGTTGACTATCCATAGAACTTGGTTTACCTTCATCTATACAACTTCTAAAATGCCTCTCAAAGAAATGTTAAACCTACTGAGTATGAGCGAGTTTTCTCAATCTCGTAAAAAAAGCATAAACTTGTGCATAAACGTTCCACACTATAGGCTCTAGCATATCACTCCCCGATTGTGGGACCGACTTGAAGCTGGCCAGAAAACCTCTGGATACTGTTGCCCACCTCTACCCAACTGACCATTAATTGCGAAACTGTGAATGTAAGTTATGTAAGTTATTGAAGTTCTTTAAATAAACAATAATGTGTTACTGATGCCGTTTAAGTGTACAGATTATGTATGTATACTATGCTCAAGATCAGATTATGTATGTATACCATGCTGAAGACAGATTATTAAAGTTCACTGTTGTGAAGCTGTATTTTTGTTTCTTGGCTTCTACAGTACAACCAGAAATTATTGAGAATTTAAAGATTGTAATTTTTTTTTTTTTTCACTCATTACTCTCGTATTAAATGTGAATATTAGCAGAACATAACTCCAGATTCAAAGACAGGTGAACAGTTAGTATTTTGTCAAGTCACCATGGGCAGCAATGCAGGCTTTAATGCGGCGGGGCATACTACTGCTTAAAGAAGTTAGAAAGTCGTGGTCCATGCTGTCCCAATATCGGACCACCTCTTCTTTCATTTCAGCAATATTTGTCAGATGTTTCTTATTGATACTTTCCTTCATAAGTCCCCAAATATTTTCTATTGGATTTAGGTCAGGGCTATAGCTTGGCCAATCTAATAATGTCATATTTTGGGTCCGAAACCAGGCCTGGGAAGGCTTTAAACGATGTTATGGGTCGTTGTCCTGCTGGAAAATCCAAAAAATGTCCATAGAACACGCGAGCAGACGGAAGTAAATGTCCCTCGAGAATATCTGTGTACCGCTCACTGTGGCGTCTGTCTCCTTACAGACAGCCTAAAGTTTTCTAAACTCCTTCGTTTGTTTTTTAGAAACAAGAATACCAAGCCGCCTCCTGTCACCGACAGTCAATTTTCTGGGCCTACCTGCGCCTAACTGGTGCTCAATGCCATATCCATTTGCAATATTTTTTAAAACACGATAAACAGTCGACAAAGGGATGCCTGTTCTACCTGAATTCACTTTAGCTGATCTGATGTCCTTGTTATATAACTCTAAAATCAACTTCCTCTTCTCTAAATCATCCATACTGAGGATCACTGAAAATGTCGTCTGCTAGCAAGTAAACAAAACGGGATAACTCTTCACAAACTAATGAAAAAGGATTAACGGAGTTGTCTCTCTTGAATGAAACCAAGCACTTGATAGCTGGTCAAGGTTGTTTATACTAAAAGTCCAATTAAATATACACATGTGTATTCCTAAAATTCTCAATAATGTCTGGTCATACTATATGTTGTTTTAACCCGTATGACTAGTGGGACGTATGGTTACTGGTAGGACACCATTTGATCAACCAAACATGTTTTAATTGTATAAAAATGACTTACTTATCTTCTTTCTTTAATCAACCATATATGTTTTCATCGTATAAACTTACTCACCATATTAATTGGGATACTTTGATCAACCATACATATGTTTTTGTAGTATAAACATGACTTACTCGTCTTCTACTTTGATCACCTAAGCTGTTTTTTCTGTGTTAGATAGACCTGCTCATCTGATCTTATTCTTTTATTTTGCAATGTCGTATAAAACCTCTGCAAGTTTCACAATCAGCGTCGTCAAAATGGCAAATCTTCAGAGAGCTGAGTTCGTAACTTCACAGAGAGGCGATCAACAAGTGCTTCATGCTGGATACCGATACAGACGACGCCAGATTTCCCTGTAATATCTGGAACCAGCACGAGAACACTGGACTTCCCTCAAACAAAAAACTGGCAGGGGTTTCACAATGGACTAAAGAAGAGAATGCCCCTGTCACATCCATACATGTACCAGTTCATAAAAGTAATCCAGAAGATTCAGACAGTAGATAAACGGTCTAGACGACATACAGGTCTTCTTGTTGCTGTGAAACGCCGTGCAGGTATTGACAGGGACGGAGATGCCCGAATCGAGAGACTAACTCTACACCTTGCAACTGGTCGAAAACCTGTGGTGCAGTTTTTAGATGCAGTTGGACATTTGTTGAATATATGACCTTATTAAAGAGTAAATCATCAGTGCAAGTCAACCCTAAATTTGTTTTGCTAAGGGTGTAGATGAAATGAGGTGTAGGCGATATGAGGTCAGACCAACGTACTGGATAGAACCCAAAAGACGTGTATTGTCCATGCGGCACCGCCCGACATTGTTTTGGTGTATTCCGTGAGTGGCCACCGCAATTAACAACTGCGTGATCCAGAGAGAGGCCACTCAGGGACAACCGAACCATCAGGGGTTGACGTGGGCATGCCAACAGCAGGGGTTAAGGTCGTCATACTAACATCGGGGGTGGAGGTCGGCATACTAACATCAGGGGTGGAGGTTGGCATACTTACATCGGGGGTGGAGGTCGGCATACTAACATCAGGGGTGGAGGTTGGCATACTAACATCAGGGGTTAAGGTCGTCATACTAACATCGGGGGTGGAGGTCGGCATACTAACATCAGGGGTGGAGGTTGGCATACTTACATCGGGGGTGGAGGTCGGCATACTAACATCAGGGGTGGAGGTTGGCATACCAACATCAGGGGTGGAGGGCATACTGGCATACTTCACATCAGGGGTGGAGGTTGGCATACTAACATCAGGGGTGGAGGTTGGCATACTAACATCAGGGGTGGAGGTTGGCATACTAACATCAGGGGTGGAGGTTGGCATACTAACATCAGGGGTGGAGGTGGGCATGCTAACATCAGGGGTGGAGGTTGGCATACTAACATCAGGGGTTAAGGTCGGCATACTAACATCAGGGGTGGAGGTTGGCATACTAACATCGGGGGTGGAGGTGGGCATGCCAACAGCAGGGGTTAAGGTTGGCATACTAACATCGGGGGTGGAGGTCGGCATACTAACATCAGGGGTGGAGGTTGGCATAATAACATCAGGGGTTGAGGTTATCATACTGACAACAGGGATTGAAGTCGGCATTCTAATGTCAGGGGTTGAGGTTCTTATACAAATATCAGGGGCTGAGGTCGGCATTCTAACATCAGGGTTGAGGTCGGCATACTAGCATCAGGGGTTAAGGTCGACATACTGACATCAGGGGTTGAGGTCGGCATACCGACATCAGGGGTTGAGGTTGTCATACTGACAACAGGGATTGAAGTCGGCATTCTAATATCAGGGATTGGGGTCGGCATACTAACATCAGGGGTTGAGGTTGTCATACTGACAACAGGGATTGAAGTCGGCATTCTAATAATGTCAGGGGTTGGGGTAGGCATACTAACATCAGGGGTTGAGGTCGGCATACCGACATCAGGGGTTGAGGTTGTCATACTGACAACAGGGATTGAAGTCGGCATTCTAATATCAGGGATTGGGGTCGGCATACTAACATCAGGGGTTGAGGTTGGCATACTAACATCAGGGGTGGAGGTTGGCATACTAACATCGGGGGTGGAAGTCGGCATACTAACATCAGGGGTGGAGGTTGGCATAATAACATCAGGGGTTGAGGTTATCATACTGACAACAGGGATTGAAGTCGGCATTCTAATGTCAGGGGTTGAGGTTCTTATACAAATATCAGGGGTTGAGGTCGGCATTCTAACATCAGGGTTGAGGTCGGCATACTAGCATCAGGGGTTAAGGTCGGCATACTGACATCAGGGGTTGAGGTCGGCATACCGACATCAGGGGTTGAGGTTGTCATACTGACAACAGGGATTGAAGTCGGCATTCTAATGTCAGGGGTTGGGGTCGGCATACTAACATCAGGGGTTGAGGTCGGCATACCGACATCAGGGATTGAGGTCGGCATACTAACGTCAGGGGTTGGGGTCGGCATCATACTGACAACAGGGATTGAAGTCGGCATTCTAATGTCAGGGGTTGGGGTCGGCATACTAACATCAGGGGTTGAGGTTGTCATACTTACAACAGGGATTGAAGTCGGCATAGTAACACCAGGGTTTGAGGTCGGCATACTATCATCAGGGTTTGAGGTCGGCATACTATCATTAGTGGTGGAGGTCGGCATACTAACATCAGGGTTTGAGGTCGGCATACTATCATAAGTGGTAGAGGTCGGAATACTAACATCAGGGGTTGAAGTTGTCATACTGATATCAGGGGTTGAGGTTGTCATACTAACAACAGGCATTGAAGTCGGCATACTATCATTAGTGGTGGAGGTCGGAATACTTACATCAGGGGTTGAGGATATGATGTAAACAGTCATAATCTATTCCCAAAGGTTGTAAAGAGTTAATATGTACATAATGAAGTCATAAGTGTTAATGCTGACACTATGGGCGAACTCATACACAGCAAAGGGGCGGTGGGGTAGTAGTTAAAGCGTTCGCGCGGCACGCCGAGACTCACTCATGCAAAACATGAGCGTAGGACTGAACGAACAGCGTAAATATTGCAGTGTTGGATTGTGTTAAATCATAAATACTTTGGTGTTTTAAACAGAGAACAACAATGCAATATATTCCCTGAAATGATTCAAATTATATTGAAAATGCACTTGCATTGTATGAAATTATATTATATCATATACATATCCAATGCAATGGAGATTGAACAATGTTGACGCAATACCTGTCCATTGTTATAGTTTAGGTGGTGTCTATTGCTCTATAACAACAGACCGGTTTCAGTCGGGTAAACGGATGCACGGTATGATGAAGTCCCCCAACATCAAGGTCTGTGTGTTCGGAATTTTGGTGCTTTGGTGTGGATTATGTGTGATCTATTACTGGGACTGGAAATCACTCAAGCTGTCATTGTATGTATGCTTATCTGTTACATGAATTTCGTGAATCTGTATGTTGGGGTTCTCTTACTTGGCTTGTCTAGAGTTTGACACGTGAATCTTGCGATAGCTTCCCGAACTGTATGTTGGGTTTGGGTTACGTGGCAAAGCGTGCGACATCATGAAGATATATGACACGTATGTGCTTACGCAGTAACATCTGCACTGATCCAAATTTCACGTTATAATATTATAGTGATGAATTACAAGAAGGTGAGATGCTCGTCACAGGGACGACAGCTACAATGAATAACACCTTAGATACATTGCATGATAGATAAAGCTAGCTAAGTTATTTAAAAGTTTACAATCTGATGATGACATGAGGTGTTTGAATTTGGCTTTACTTGGGTTGATACAATAGGTTTTAGGTAAATGGTTCAAGCGGAGCTGTTGGAATTTGGAACACACGAGGAGAAGATGGTATTCATCCTCAATATAACCTTCATCGCACTGTAAACATAATCTATCATTTCTATCTATATTATAATACCTTCCAGTTTCTATACGTAACTGATGTGAAAAACATCTAAACTGAGCGAGTGCTACTCTAAACTTTTTAATGTTAATCACATTTAAATACAATTCCCTGGACAATGTTATTTTGAAGTAAGAATAAAACATAGATTTGTTGCCATTTTGAAGTGAACTATACCAATTCTGTTCATGAATACATTTAAGTCGACTCACAAATTCAGATAAAAACGAGGTAGGAGAAATAACCGATTGCTGCCCCTAAACAAAAACAAAACCCAAACTGTACAGCAGATCTCGACACCTCGACGCCCAATTAACTTTATTATGATCTAAAGCCATTAACATCATATAATAACATTTTTGGGGATGACGAGAATCAGACATACTCAATAATTTTAACCAATACTTTATTACCCTTTTATATGCTGGGATATATAGGGGATACCGCCCACATTCACCACGAGCCATATTATTAGTTGTAGAGATCTTAACGCCTAAAAACCGTTTGCAAGCCAATGTATGCACAGATTCAACATAATCATTCTGAATATCCCTTTATGAACCTCCCTGCTTACATTACAATTTAACCCAGTTTTCCTACAGTATTAATATTTATTCAATAAAGAAACGATAATTAAGTAAAGTAACATTGAACATATATTACAAACTTAATATATATGCTTACACCAAGTGTATTATTTGCATAAATGTAAAGCCTATTTCAGATTTCTTTTGTTAAGCTCTGAAAAAATCTTGAGTTGTTTTGGTACCAAATTCTTTCTTGTAAAGTGCCCTTTAAATGCACGGGAATGTTAAATCGATTGAAATAATATTAGGTAGACTAAAGCCGAGTTAATATATCGACAACATAGTACATTTATCACCTTTATGAAAATATTAAAGCCAAAAAGCATTTTCTTGTATTTCCGACAGTACTTTATCAGCTCCAGAACGAAGTCGCCGATCGCCACAACAATGACCTAACCGAACTTGTTATTGTCATGAAGACATGAGTACCTCTTCTTGTGTTTTAGTAGTTGAAGTATACATTGTTTTTTAATTAGCTGGATAAACATTGTATGAACCAGGCACAGCTATAACTAATATATATATATATATATATAAACAGACGTAATGGGCATACCCGGGTTTATAAACAGAGGTAATGGGGAAACAGTGTCAGATCCGTCACACTAGCGTTTATAAACAGACGTAATTGGGAAACAGTGTCAGATCCGTTACACCAGGGTTTATAAACAGACGTAATGGGGACACCCGGATTTATAAACAGACGTAATGGTCACACCCGGGTTTTTAAACAGACGTAATGGGGACACTAAGGTTTATAAACAGACGTAATGGGGAAACAGTGCCAGATCCGTCACACCAGGGTTTATAAACAGACGTAATGGGGAAACAGTGTCAGATCCGTCACACCAGGGTTTATAAACAGACGTAATGGGGAAACAGTGTCAGATCCGTCACACCGGGGTTTATAAACAGACGTAATGGTGACACCCGGGTTTATATACAGACGTAATGGGGAAACAGTGTCAGATCCGTCACACCCGGGTTTATAAACAGACGTAATGGTGACACCCGGGTTTATAAACAGGCGTAATGGTGACACCCAGGTTATAAACAGACGTAATGGTGTCACCCGGGTTTATAAACAGACGTAATCGGGACACCCGTGTTTATAAACAGACGTAATGGAGAAACAGAGTCAGATCCGTTACACTAGGGTTTATAAACAGACGTAATGGTGACACCCGGGTTTATAAACAGACGTAATGGGGACACCCGGGTTTATAAACAGACGTAATGGGGAAACAGTGTCAGATCCGTCACACCCGGGTTTATAAACAGACGTAATGGTGACACTCGGGTTTATAAACAGACGTAATGGGCACACCCGGGTTTATAAACAGACGTAATGGGGAAACAGTGTCAGATCCGTCACACCAGGGTTTATAAACAGACGTAATGGGGAAACAGTGTCAGAACCGTCACACCCGGGTTTATAAACAGACGTAATGGTGACACCCGGGTTTATAAACAGACGTAATGGGGACACCCAGGTTTATAAACAGACGTAATGGGGGCACCCAGGTTTATAAACAGACGTAATGGGGAAACAATGTCAGATCCGTCACACCAGGGTTTATAAACAGACGTAATGGTGACACTCGGGTTTATAGACAGACGTAATGGGGAAACAGTGTCAGATCCGTCACACCAGGGTTTATAAACAGACGTAATGGGGAAACAGTGTCAGATCCGTCACACCCGGGTTTAAAAACAGACGTAATGGTGACACCCGGGTTTATAAACAGGCGTAATGGGGACAACCAGGTTATAAACAGACGTAATGGGGAAACAGTGTCAGATCCGTCACACCCGGGTTTATAAACAGACGTAATGGTGACACCCGGGTTTATAAACAGACGTAATGGTGACTCTCGGGTTTATAAACAGACGTAATGGGGAAACAGTGTCAGATCCGTCACACCAGGGTTTATAAACAGACGTAATGTTGACACTCGGGTTTATAAACAGACGTAATGGTGACACCCGGGTTTATAAACAGGCGTAATGGGGACAACCAGGTTATAAACAGACGTAATGGTGTCACCCGGGTTTATAAACAGACGTAATCGGGACACCCGTGTTTATAAACAGACGTAATGGGGAAGCAGAGTCAGATCCGTTACACCAGGGTTTATAAACAGACGTAATGGTGACACCCGGGTTTATAAACAGACGTAATG